AATCATTAAAAATAATTTTTGCACATGTGCACCCAGATTTGAATAGTATGTAATCAATGGGAGTTAGGGTCTTAAGGCTCCTGACATACATTGCACTTAAGATGGGAGCACTGTGAGCTGATCCAGGCTCCCAGCTGTGGGGATGCAACACGCACCACATCTGGGAGCCCACAGCTGATGGGGCTCTCAGCTGCAAGGGGGCACTATCAGCTCCTGTGACTGGGAGCCATCTTCAGCTGTGAGCTCCCAGCCTTGGGGGTGGCATAGGAGCCCAGATCAGCTGATAAGGTTCCTAGCCACAGGAGCAGATGCTGCAACCCTGCAGCTGGGAGCCCTGTCAGCTGAGGGTACTCCCAGACATGGGAGCTTGCTGCTTGCTGGTTCAGGGGGAGACTGGGATTGTGGTACTAGACTCCCCCTGCACTGGCAATAAGGCATGATGGCATCTGATGCTTGATCCTACAATCACGCCTTCTGCCATGCACGTATAGCATGGCAGGAGGTGCAATTTTGTGCACCGCACATCAGATACTATTGCACCTTTACTTACTTGTCTGGCAGGAGATCATAAAAAAAAGCATCATAAAAACTTAGGCCAGCCTCTTAGGAACTGAGTTTAACTTCTTTGCATTGGGCTTTCAAACACTTCTTAAAGGGACAGGTTGATGCATTTAAAATCAGGTTCTACGCATTCATGTCAGGGATGCAACAAGATTAACTTTAAAAATCAAGATGCAGATGACAGAAACAATATGCCCTCATCTCTTTCATTTCTGCACTTTGATTAGCATGGTTTGTGCAAAAAGAATAATGATTTCAGAATGATTTGCAAGCCATTAAACAAATTTAAGAAACTGCTAATAAAAAATCAAAAGTAGCAGAGAAATTTTTTTTAAAATCAAACAAGTCTGCAAATTAAATGCAAAGCCATTAAGCTATGATACAGGAACCTCTAAAATTATACTTCTACCATTCCATATTTACTATCAATTCAAACTGAGTAAACTGAGTAAAATTACAACTGAATTTTCCTTCTGAAGCTCAAAAAAAAGTAAGTTCTAATCTAGATTTAGGTTTCATGACAAATGAAAAGTCAGGCAGAAGGCATCATAGATATGCATTCTGCATTCTAACTAAATAAGATGTACATAGAGCACAAGCTTTTGTGAACTCAAATGCACTTCAAATCATCCTGAAGTGTAGTCATTCTTCAACCTTTCATGGAAATTGGGAATAATTCAATAGGCTGTATTGAAGACTTACCAGTTTTGTTAGAAATTCCTATGAAATTTGGGGTACATCAACCATAAGCTCAGCCCCAAACCATTTTTTCCCAAATGAATCCCTACATACCAACATTGTTGAGTTTTTCAGAGTTTTATTATCACTGTAAGTATGGAAACCCATGTAATTCCACCTATACAATGGTTAATTTTACAACGTATACTACAATATATGGCAGTATGGATGAGATGGAAATACAATGTAAAATACATAAAAGTGTGTGTGTGTGTGTGTGTGTGTGTGTGTGTGTGTGTGTGTGTGTGTGTGTGTGTGTGTGTGTGTGTAGGTATGTCTTTTGTAAAAGCTTTACAGTATTGAGGAATAAAGCATGAAGGACATTGAACAATGGCTTTGTGATTAATGTATATGAATAGGAACTAATTATCTGGGTTAAATCCAAACTCTGTTGCATACTTTCTGTCTTACCCCGAACAACTAACTTACCCACTCTGGATCCTAATTTTTTTTAAATCTGTAAAATATTATTAAAATCACAGCAGTAACACTCAAGTCAATATACTTGCAAAATACTTTAAGATCATAAAAAATAAAGTTGCTATACTTTGTAAATGCAATTTTGCTTTGTAACAATAGATCATTCTGAAATCAAATTTGCTTATATTATCTAATAAATATGGATACCATGAAGTTTCCTGCTCTTTAATGAATGTATTACTTAAAAATGAAACCTGAATTATCTTGATTCATCATTCAGCAGTTTCTTAAAGCTTAATCATGTAACCACTACATACACTTTCTTATCCTCAATTCTTAATTAACTAAAATTATATGTCTCAACTACAAATAAAATATATCATCAGCTTGTTCTGTCCATATGAACAGCTTCTATGTCCCATCATAACACAAGGTGACTCAACAGCTAAAGAAAAAGACAGTACAGAGTCTTTTTGGGTATTTAACTAAACATTTCCTGGACCATCCTTGGCAGTGGCTCATGGTTGCCCCCTTTCTCTTAGCGTAGTAAACAGTTCCAGAATCAAAATCATTCCCTCCCTCCTAGCAGGTTGGTCATATATGGTTAACATGGCCCTTCCTTACTAGATGTTAAACAGTCTCCAAAGCCAACACCCTAATTCCTG